AAAAAAAAAAAAGGTCATCAAAAAAATCTGAAAAAAAGATATGTTATGGAGAAAAATAATTAAACAAGATTTGCCTGAGCATTACATCCGAATTCCTTACCAAATTTGAAATAAAAATAAAATACGGAGAAGAAATACTAATAACAAAAATAAATAAAAACAAAAAGAGAATTAAACTTAGTGAGTGCACGAACACATTTTTGACACCTCCATCTTTGGCGATTTTTCATTTTGTTTTTGCATACCTAAATGCCCTGAAAATTTACAAATGTATACTTCACATAATACAAAAGCCAATAAAAAAGTTTCAAAAAATAATAAAATCGTTTAGACCCCGAACTAAAGTGAAAACAAAAAGTAAAAAGTGAAAAAAGAAGTGGGCGAGCACATTTTGACACTGCCATCTTTGGCGATTTTTCATTCTTATTTGGCTAAACCAAATGACTTGAAACTTTATAGGCATGTACCTCACGCCGTAGAGAACTCAAAAAATAAAATTCAGAAAAACAAAATTATTTTGAGGTCCCCAAATAATTTTTGGCGGGGGCCAAACGTCGTCGGGTTCGGACCCCGTACCGGACCCTGAACGCCCGTACGTACGGAGGTCTGCCCGGGGACCTCCGTACGTATGGGCTGGTGACCCTGTATGTATATATATATATATATCGTCACAAACAGAACTGCCCGGTAAACCGTAGAAATATATATATACATATATATATATACATATATATCGTCAAATAGAACTGCCCGGTAAACCGTAGGCAGAGAGGGAGAAGAGGACAACAAACGAGGGGCTGTGACAAGCTGTTTCGTCGGAGTTTCACCGACTCATCTCCTGGGAAAGCTTCTCGACCGGGTGGTCGACGTAACAACACATATTGTTTATAATTATATATGTAATTCATATTATCTATATAGAATATATATTTGTACACAATATATGTATACAATATCTGTATTCAATATTTAATATGATATAATTATTTCATTCATAGTTATTTGACAATATAT